CTAGCTGTACCAAAGAAGCAATTTTATTTCACAGTTCCTGTCCCCGTAGAGCACAGTCCCATATTTTTTCAAGCTGATGAGGAACTGGAGGAGACAGACACCAGAGAAGATTTCTTGAACTAACACAGTGACTTTCTAAGAATGCCGACCCTATCATTAGGTACCTAAAGGAAGTTGTGTTAAGCAACAGATTCTAAATAAATTAAATATTATTTGTTAATGGGTTGATTAATACAAAATGTTAGTTGTTGTTTTGTCCCATTATGTCATCCCCGACTTATTGTAGTACTGTATTTTTCTGATGGAGAGACAGCACTTGTGGGAATTTTTGCCTCAGGTTCTCAGATAACTTGACCATGTGTGTGTGTTTAGTCATTTAGTCGTGTCCGACTCTTCGTGACCCCATGGACCAGAGCACGCCAGGCCCTCCTATCTTCCACTGCCTCCCGGAGTTGGGTCAAATTCATGTTGGTTGCTTCGCAGACACTGTCCAGCCATCTCATCCTCGGTCGTCCCCTTCTCCTCTTGCCATCACACCTTCCTAACATCAAGGTTTTTTCCAAGGAGTCTTCTCTTCTCATGAGATGGCCAAAGTACTGGAGTCTCAGCTTCAGGATCTGTCCTTCCAGTGAGCACTCAGGGTTGATTTCCTTTAGAACCGATAGGGTTGTTCTCCTTGCAGTCCAGGGGATTCTCAAGAGCCTCCTCCAGCACCACAATTCAAAGGCATCAATTCTTCGGCGGCCTGCTTTCTTTATGGTCCAGCTCTCACTTCCATACATCACGACAGGAAAAACCATAGCTTTGACTATTCGGACGTTTGTTGGCAATGTGATGTCTCTGCTTTTTAAGATGCTGTCAAGATTTGTCATCGCTTTCCTCCATGCTACGGCAATATATGCTGTGACTCTGGGAGGCAAGAGAATGCTGTTTGCTGCAAATTGTCTTGTGCTGCCCCTGAAATCTAAGTCTGTCGTTGAGAATTCCTTGTTATACCTCCTCATTTTGGAAGCTAAACAGGTGAGGCCTGGTTAGTACTTGAATGGGAAGCCACCAGTCAATATCAGGGATCTCCAGCTAATTACTGGGAAAAGGCCCACCTCAAATCCTGCTGCCACCAACGTTGCCACTACTAAGCCAGATGGGCCACTGGGATGATTCTATAGAAGGCACGTTCTTATGTTTTTTGAGTAGTTATCAGAAGTTCTTCAAAAGAAAGACTGTGAGATTATCAGGTCCTGTTTGCTCAAAGGCAGCTTTTTCTGCCACTGTTGTCCTAACTCTAGAATGTTCAACCCATGGAAACTGAGGGCAATGGGAATTCCTGGGGTGTGCATGGGCTCCATGGCAGAAAAACTGGCAGAGAATGGGTGCCCTACTAGCACAATGCTCTTACAGCATACTGGCTGGATAGCCCTAGGAATCGTAGTAGAAAAAATAAATAAAAAGGTTATTTTCCATGCTTTGGGAAAGGACACAAGGAGTATTACCATGTTGCTTCTACTAGGCCTCTCCATGTTGAGCATGGTCACCTGAACGGACTGACGCTGGGATGTGTTACGGCACCTCTTGTCATTTGCAGGGGGCCAATCTCAGAAGGAGAGTATGAGGAACTTCATTCCACCATGTGGTCTTTGACTTAAAGGACTCTTCTGGGTTTCATCATCTCCTGCCTGCTCTTTAACATCTACACAAAGCTACTGGGAAAAGCCATTCAGAGTTTTCAGCTATAGTGCCACCAATATGTGGATGGCATCGCAGCTCTGCTTTCTTTTTGCTCAATCTGTAAATCCCAGAGCAGCTGTAGAACATGTGGGCAGGTGTCTAGTAATGGATGAGGATGAACAAACTGAAATTTCATCCATATAAAATGAAGGGGCTCTTACCAGTAGCTCTGGCTGACCTGATGAGAAACTGGCTTTGGATAACTTTGCACTCCACTGAAGGACCATATTTGCAACTGAATGATATGCTTTGGCTAAGCTCATCTACAAAAGGGCAGGTAGCATCTCTTATCAGAAGTATGTGCACACACACATACACACACACACACACACACACACACACATCTACAGACATCAGTTTGGAATGCCAGCTGCAATTGTAACTAAAGTGGTAATCTCAGCTTTAACAACATGGGCAACATTCAAGATTGGTTAATATAACGGGCCCATATCTGAGTAGGTTTCAGAAGGTTCAGTTGACATGAAACATGGCCACACAGATGGACTGAGCATGCGACATCAGTTTCACACCTATCATATTGGACATTGATATGTTTATTTAAAATATTTTTACCCTCCCTTTCTCCTTAAAAAAGACACAATGTGGCTTACATCATTAAAAATGCAATATGAAAAGCTAAAAAACAGTAAATTATTCAAATATTTTAAAATGACTTAAATAAACTTATAAAAATGTTGGGTAAAAACATTACTAAAACAGATTTAAAGGCAATAAAAATACAAACTGTTCTGTTTTAAAACTTCTCTTAGGCAGCCGGTCACTAAGGAAAAGCTTGCCTGAGAAAATGTTGAGAATGTTGATTATAACGTGTATTCTCATAACATCAGCAGAGTAAGGAGATATTGGTTAGCAGAGATACTTATGACACGATGACACTGAGAGAGTAAAACCAACAACTTAGTCTATTTGCACATATACATAGAGAATAGACATTCCTCTGGCAGCATAACATGACAC